GCCCAAAAACAACGGATCGAAAGGTATTATAGTCGAAGGGCCAACCTTTGACACTTCAATATCGGGGACTTAGTACTAAGGAAGGTCACTCTAAACACCTGAAACCCGAAAGAAGGGAAGTTGGGGCCGAACTAGGAATGACCTTACCAGATTCTCGAGGTCGCTGGATAACTCGGGGCGACGCCCGAACTAAAAGGCCAAGGCTAAATTAAAATGCTCGGAGACATTCGAGGACCCGTAACAAAGACAACAAGGCCTTAAAATTTCTAAACCGGTTCAAAGGCTACCCTCGACAGACTGTGACATAAAAAATAGTCTAAGTACTTGGGGGAAAGAAAACTTTCGGTCACACCGAACCCCCACGATGCCTTAAAACGAAATAAAGTTGAAGGCAAGGTTTCTTCGAGTTTCTGAACAAAACCTAACTATTTCATGCTAAAGCATTTGGATCTTTGCAAATAAAAGTACATAAGTCAAAGTGAAAAATCGAAAGCAGTTGAAGGGAAAAAGCCTTGTATTCATAATCAAAAATTCTTTTTACAAGGGCCAAAAAAGCTCGATAATTTTTTTTACAAAGGCCGAACGGCCTCAACAAAAAGTTACAAAAAACAAAAACATCTAAAGGCCTAAGTAGCCTAGTCAAGCTTCTGTTGGACCTGCGGGTTCGGACCATTAGCCACCGTATCCGACTCATTGTCACTAACCTCAAAAACCCTTCTTACCTGCTCAACCAGGTCGGCATGCTCCTTCCGAGCCGCCTTCAGCTCAGCTTGAAGTTTCTTGACCTTCCCCTCACGTTGCTCACTGAGAAGTTTGTAAGCATTTTCTCAATAAGCACTTGGGTCTCAGCGTCATTTTGGTTTAACTCTTCTTGAAATTGGAGAAAAGTCTCGTGATGAAGCACCGAGGCCTAGAAACACAAAGGAAAAAGTTACAATCTCTTATGAATTAATCTAAGTACATAACAAAAGTCGTCAAAAGACATTCGAGGTTACCCGGTTTAACGCCTGTTGGGCTTCGTTAAACAGGCAGGGCGCTTCTACCTCGTTCATCTTTTCTTGATCCTTTTCGGTCACAGGCACCTAAGATAACTTGCAACCCCCACGGGGGCAAAGAGGACTCGAGCATCCTCCGGAATGGACATAATAATGGACCGCTTTCGGTCGGGATCTACACTCGGAGCTTGGAATCAGTTTACTAGTTTCATGCTCGAAGAAGGCCTGCTGGACCCCGAAGACGGACTCTTCTTCGGTACCGATAAGTCACCCAACCCGGTGATGTCTTCTGAAGCGGTAGAGTCTAAACCCTCAAAAAAGTTGTGGAAGGAGTCTACCACCCCTTGGGGCTCCTCATTTGGACGTTCTTTTAGCACTTGGGCATCGTAGATCATGGAGTCGATAAACAAAGGCGACTCGGAGAGGTCTATCACCCCAAGTCCATCCTTTGGGACATTATCCTCTGCCCGAGAAGCACCAGCCACATTCTCTGTGTCGGCATCCCTAACTTGGGGCAAAACGGCTTCGCCCCTCTCTAATTCGGAGGCCTCAGCCACTGCCTCACCAACAACCCCCTGGTTTGAGGCAATACGATGTTGCTCGCACGCGGGCCACCAGTTCGGATTTTTCTTCCTCTTCTTCGGACTCATCTCTCAGCGGGTGGATTGAGTCCGATGGGAGATCTCGAGCGCTGGTGCTTTCCTTGGATTTGTGCACCAGCCTCCTTTTCGGTTTTTTCTTCTCCGAATTCGAAGAACACGAATCCTTTCTGTTCTTCTTCTCCTGCCTTGGAGCAGGGGACTCGGCGGGCTATCTTCATCGCGTGATGAAGGTCTCATTGCAACATCCTTCCCAAGGCTTAAAAAGAGAAAAAGAAATGAGTAAGGCAGCACGGAAGAGGTCCAAATGTTGTCCACTCTAGGAAGAAATGTCACCGTAGGAACGGGCTTCCCATCGGCCTTTCAAAAGTTCGCGCCATGCGCGCTCAGAGTACGGTTTCTTGGAGAAAGATGCCCTCGACCCACTCCCTAAGTCGAGGAACTGCATCTAGAACCCGAGCAACAGCTGCGTCACCACCAAACATCGATAAGAAAGGGGAAAAAGAGAGCAAAAATATTAAATTCTGGGAAAAGAAGAACTTTACTTTCGTTTGTGTTCCACTTTTCGGAGAACGACATGTCCTCGACCGGAATCAGGTCCAAGGTCCCCACACGGACAAACCTACCCAGCCAACCTCGGTCTCGATCTTCATTGATGCTCGAAAACGGGCTTTGGTGGCCCGACGCGCAAGTTTGATCAGTCTCCCTCGGAAGAATCGAAGACTGTATAGGCACATCAGATGATCAACAGTGAATGGGAATCCGTCAATCTTGCTCACGAAGAATCGGAGGAGAATGACTATCCTCCAGAACGAGGGGTAGATATGACCAAGGCACACCTCGTATCTTTTGCAAAACTGGATGATCATTGGGTCCAACGGACCCAACATAAAGGGGTAAGTGTAAACACTTAAGTATCCCTTAACGTGGGTACTAATATCTTCTTCGGGCCCAGGAACCACCATGCCTTTTCCGTCCTAGTTGCAGCCCTTTATGACCGTGGGGAGGGTGTCTTCGGTAATCGAGCAAATATACCTCGATACTTTCTCGCCTCGGCCCGGGTGAAGGTTTTTCAACTTTGAAGTCGGCGGCCACCGAGTACCTGCCAGTGATAAATGCGTCAAGAGGAGGTTCTGCCGCTGGTTCCTCGCAGGCCGGCAGTGAAGAAGAAGCAGTTTCTTTTTGAGGAACTGTCTTAGAAGTTTTCGCCATTTTTCTCTTCAAATGAAGGGTAAAAGATGAAGGAGAGGAAGTGAAAAGGGTATGCTTGACGATTTGGAGTGAAGGCAAGTAAGAGTTCTTATAGATAGCTTAAGAAATCTGGGCACAAGTGCTATGTAATGCAAAGATTCTTAAGAGCAAAAGTGGAGAAGTATTGAATGTAAAGTTTGAATGGATGAAGAATGAGGTATTTATAGTTTTCAAAAAATGACGGTTCAAAACTAGGAGTGGCCGACCAGCAACTGACGAGCATTTAATGCTTTTAAGACATGACTGACGAGACGTTTTGTTCATTTTGTCGTTTCTAACGCAGAGTATCCAGGCAAAAATCGGGGGCTCATATCGTTTCTCGTCGTTTACTCTCCGAAAAATGAGGGGACTATCTGTATACAGTCCAAATCGGGCTCGTCTATTACACTATAGATCTGGATTAAAACACGATGGGTTGAAGGTCGACCCCAGATCCACCGAACCAAGATACAAGGTCAGAGTGCCCGCCCTCGAGAACATCGAATCCGTGACCCTGGAATCAACTCTGATCCCGAATGAGCTCGAAGAAACATTGCCTGACCGAATAACAGAAAGCGAAACATCCGTAATCGGTCGGGTATCACGGCGAAAATCTCGGCACGTATCAATGAGGAACCGGTTAATTAGCAAATCATGAGATTTTTTCACATTTTATAGAATTTTACCTAAAGTAGGACTCCCCTACTATATAAAGGGGGTTTAATTATTCGTAAAACACATTGTACCACGCATCCCAAAGCATTGTAATATAATTTTCTTCCTGCAAGCTATTGTTCTTCTATATCTGATATCATTTGAATTACACCCAGTTCGAGTGAGACTTATTTTTCAAGGCTATAACTGTTCAAGTCATACGGTTTGAATCTATTTTATTATTGTTCACTTTATTTATGATTTAATTTATCGTTTTGTGTCAAATTAATCCACGTATCCTTAAAACCACTTATAAATTCAATTGTTATCCGATTTTGGGGGTAAACAATAATCAAGAAGGAATTAATTTTATTTTTTCAAAATTTGTCCTTATTTACATATCATAAAATGGCAAGTTAACAATTAATTAAGGGTAGTTTCGTGAATACATATTTTTTCTCTAGCCGTTCGTATTTTCTTAAGGTGTGTACCAAAGGCTACAAAGTCGCTTATTATTAACCGGAGGGAGTAATAAGTTTTTGCACCGCTGAGCCGTGACCGAGGCTACTACTGAGCCGGTCTATCGAGCCCGTCCGGCACAACCCTCTATCTCGATCCTCCATAGCCCCCGCGCCGTCTCCCAGCATACCGGGTTGTTCCGGTCCGTTAACCCGGCACACATAGCTTTGACTAGTAAAAAAACAAACACGTCATTTCAATTTTGAAGGAGCCATTTGGAGGTGTCGGGGATGGTTAGAGAGAAAACTGTAGTTTTCTAGTGTGAACTCATTCTAAGAATCTAATTTAACTTATATACATTGAAATGTAAAACGAATTTACTCATCAGTATAATTTAACTTGGCGTCGTAGGTTGGTTGTCTTATTATTCGGATTTTTTGAGTTATTAATTATATTTTTTATGGACAGTTAGATGGAATAATTTTTTAAGTGACATGATAATTTGGAAAATTCATTACACTGCAATATATATAAAAGTTGAACTCATGACCTCCTTTGCCTTATCATCAAGTTCTTAACTTCTTCTGCTATTTTGGAACTACAATTGACATATGACTCTATACTGACTACTGGCTTGTCTTCTTTTATGATTCATCTATCTATTAATATTGATGAAACAATTAGTGAAATATAATAATTGAAAATTGTCCAAGTTGGATTTCTCGATATTATTCTGAGTAGAGCATAGACTTCACATCAATCAAATAGATATTTCCCTCTGCTTAAAACAAATATTTGGCTAACAAGTGATTAATATTTTTTAACAAAATAACGAACAAAGAAAGTTGGTTGACATTTTTAAAACCCCTGTTTGATTTCTTGTGACAGATTGTTTTTGTACGAATATCAAACTCAATAGCCAATGTAGAAGAAAAAAATTAGAATTAAAGGAAACATATCTTTGGCTATATTATCACTTGGACCCCATCACTATGACATGTATATTCACTTCACAACAATAAAACCAAGCAAGAATAATTTAATTAAAAGACAGCTCTTATTAGTTACTTATTTATTGGGCATCACTACATTTTTCAATGAGCAAAATTATATCCACATATTCTCTTCTTAGCAAGTCTAGTCATGATGTGATATTTTTTACCACAACAATTTGGAAGAGTACAAATATAGAAGAATTAACCCAAATAGCCACCCAAATAATCTCTTAAACTAAAAAAAGCTGGCAGATGTATAATTCATGTATACTTGGCTAGAAAAAATAAATATTGAATCTGGCTGGCTATTTGTGTAACAATCCCAAAAATATAACTACGGTAAATGTAATCTAGCCCTAGCAAGTTTTAGGACTTGCTGAAAATGATGGGCCGTATCAGGTGGATGGGCCTCAATTATGGGCCTTTCCGGCAACACCCACCGCCCGTCGGGAGTCCTCACCATGCCTTTGTTCGCATCTTGCCACCACATCGGCGGCACGCCATAGTCCTTCTTCAAGAAACTAGAGTCCTTGTTGACGAGAGCGACATCCCTCCCCGTGGCGGAGCAAAACGCGCGATCCTTCCCGTGGTAGCCATCGACGAGGTGTAAATGGGCCTCAAGATTATGTGCACAGCCCAAATCATTATTGGGCTTTAGAAAAGGAGAATGATGATGGTCCAATGTTAATTCCACCCCAACATGAGCATAACTCCAAGGAAATGAAATAGTCTCTTCTAATTGCTTTTGAAATTGAAATTTCTCATTTGTAATAATTCCAGGCACAGTTGGCACCTTATCATGCACATTTATCACTCTCAAAACCCTAATTCCTAGCTCTTCACCACCTTTCTTTAAATTTAAGATTTCCAACCCTAGGGCCAGCAAATGAAAAAACAGTAATTGGAATTCTTTTAATTACAGACTTACCATTATGTAAAATGTTCAATTTCATCTCAGCTATATCATAAGCACTTAACAAAGCCAATGCTGCACCAAGACTATGCCCTGTAATTGTAATACTTAGCTCTTCACCTTCATACTTCTCGATTAATCGATTAATCTCAGCTAAAATTTGTTCACGAGCCGAAAATGAACAATAGTGACAATTTTTTTCTTTCTGAGTATACAAATCGAAGAACCCTGACTCGATCTTGATGTTAGGATCATCGCGAAAATGAGCTGGGTGCAAAATATCCTTGAGGTCATGGATCCATTCTAAGTACGTGACCGTGCCACGCCATGCAACAACAATGCCACGACGCCCTAGACGCTTAATTTCTTCGGGATCTGTGGCTACGACTACATATCCTATCCAATTCGCGTGTTGACTCCAAACCATACGATTTTTCGACTTCTGAAAGAAATTTGGCAAATTAATATTTGAAGTTGCATACAAATATCTCCTCATTTCATACCCTTTTTTCACCATGTTGAGTTTCTCAAAGAAATGTGATGGTTGATATTTGCAAGTACCACAATACTTAGAATGAGGATCATAGTCAAATGAGTCATAACAAGATTGTGCAAATTCACCATACCTAATGATTTCTTTTCTTAGATTAGAGTTCATAGGGTCAAGTAAACCTTCCCAATTTTTGCACCCTTGGATTTCTCTCCACATTTCATAAAGGGGTTTTTTCTCTTCTTCATATTGTTGGATTTTAGTATCCTTAGGTGCTAAATTAGAAAGAAATGAAGGTTTTAAAGAAATATCACTTGATAATTTTGGTGGAAGTTTTTTGTTTGAGAAAGAGAGGTTTTTAGCTTTGAATATGTTGCAATATAATGGAAAAACTTCTCGAAAAATATGGTTTCTTTTGTGTTTGGGATTGGTGAGAGATAATTGAAAGGAAGCCATGAGAATTTTGGATTTTTTTCTTGACTTGTGTTTGTTATCATATAAAATAAGCTTGTTAAAAGGAGAAGTATAAGATGCTTTCTTTATATTTCCACACATTTCTATAATTAAGTTGGAGTATGGAGAATTTCTTAAATAGGTAAGAGAATAGAGACATCCAACTACCAAGAGTAAAAGATTAATTATTACTCTAGTCGTGTCTAAAGTGTTGTCCCTTTTATTGACTGGCTTCCACTTAGTTATTGATAAGTAGATACGGTACACTTTTGATCTTTGACTGTTTGATACTTCCAGTGATATAACATATTTTGTTATTAGTTCATTTAAAAAATAATGATAATCTTGTTATTTTTTTTATTTACCCTTAATAATAAGACCTCAAGTTTCAAAAGTCTTGCGATCACACAAATATTATAGTATATTTAAAATTACAAGTTTCAAAAGTTTTTTCACCATTAAATTCTATGTCGAATCTAGCTATATATATCACATACATATAAAATGGACAGAGTGACATATAAGTTGAATCGTGAAATTAACCCTAGCCAGGAGCGAATTCAGTTCAATAGCTACGGGCTCCCGTGAACCCTGTAGCTTTTGTCTATAACTTGTATTTGTATTGAAAAATTCATTAAAAGTATACGAATATTTAGCTTGGAACCCAGTCCATTCATTCAGTTAGTATTTTATATTAACTCGAGATTTTTGTAGGAATCCATAAACCTAAGGACCTAGCTAGTGCATTAATTTGACATTAGGACAAGCCTTGCGAGATACGTGTTCAACGTGCTACACTCGAGAAAATACTCACAATTTTGGCCCCTACATTTCTAAGTACTTGAAAAATGGGTTGAGCGTGTTGATGAAAGTAGCAATAAATGTGAAACGAGAATTTGTAGTAACTTTCTAATTATAAAACTAAAAATTATATAGTTCTAAATAACACGTTTATTATTTGTTTAGTATTATTTTTGGTCTTCAACAGCTTTTAGTTTGCATTTTAAGCCAATTTGTCTGTTATTGAACTTAATTAGCTCATTTTTTGGTCCCCCCAATTTGCACATTAATAACCTGCAATCAAGTAAAATTGCGTTATATGAGACCATATTATAGTAGTGCAATCTTCTGCTTCCACGTGTGGAGACTACTGACACAAAACCATCAGATTGTGACTTCCTACCATTCAATTTCCCTTAATTTTCTAGTCTTTTCGTTTTTCAAGTTTCTACTTGGATTGAAAATACTTGTCATGGTTAAAAATCAAGAAATACGATTAACTTGACTAAAATAAAGTCCTAACTGTAATAAAACAATAAAAGTAGAAGAACAATATTGCAGAGAAAGAGAGAGTAATTCTTATTGAATTTTGGGATGATTTACAATGGAGTAAGACCCCTCTATTTATAGGGGAAAATGACTTAGCCACAAAGTAAAACTCTCTAAAAGGTAGACATTCACTAATTACGATTCTATTCATAACACTTCCCCTTGAGTGTCTACTCAATAAGTAACGTGCCTCGTTAAAACCTTAACTAAAATAAAACCCAATGGGAAAAAAATCTAGTAAAGGAAAAAGAGTACACATATCTAACAATACACTTTTTGGTTGACTCATTAAAAACCTTGCAAGGAAAACCCAGTAGGACAAAACCTTGTAAGGAAAAAGAGTGCAACGCGTATTAAACTCCCCCTGATGAGAGCATCATTTCACATCCTTGAGCCTTCACATCCCAATCTTGTGCACTAACTTTTTGAAGGTTGACGTCGGTAGAGATTTTGTGAACAAATCAGCCATATTATCACTTGAACGAATTTGTTGCACATTGATATCACCATTCTTTTGAAGATCATGTGTGAAAAATAACTTTGGTGAAATGTGCTTTGTCCTATCTCTTTTTATGAATCCTCCCTTCAATTGGGCTATGCATGCTGCATTGTCTTCATACAAAATTGTGGGTAGTTTATCACATTTCAAACCACATTTGTCTCGAATAAGATGCATTATAGACCTCAACCACATACGTTCTCGACTTGCTTCATGAATAACAATTATCTCAGCATGATTAGATGAAGTAGCCACAATTGATTGCTTAGTCGATCGCCAAGATATGGCAGTGCCTCCACAGGTAAACACATAACCTGTTTGAGATCGAGCCTTGTGTGGATCGGATAAATACCCAGTATCGGCATAACCAACAAGATCGGGACTGCAATTATTTTCATAAAATAAGCCCATATCGGTAGTCCCTTTTAGATACCGCAATATGTGTTTGATTCCATTCCAATGTCTCATTGTAGGAGCAGAGCTATATCTTGCTAAGACATTAACTGAATAGGTTATGTCAGGCCTTGTAGTATTAGCAAGATACATTAGTGCACCAATTGCACTAAAATATGGTACTTCAGGACCGAATAAAACCCTTATCAAGCAATTCCTGTAACTGCTCCTTCAACTCCTTCAACTCAGGAGGAGCCATACGGTATGGAGGAATAGAAATGGGCTGAGTGCCCGGCAACAGATCAATGCCAAAATCAATATATTTATCGGGCGGCATGCCCGAAAGATCAGCTGGAAACACATCAGAGAAATTCCGTACTACTAGGACTGAATCAACTGTAGGGGTATCAATACTGACATCTCTCACATAAGCTAGATACGCGTCACACCCCTTCTCAACCATACGCTGAGCCCTAAGGAATGAAATAACTCTACTGGAAGTATGATCTAAGGTACCCCTCCACTCTACTCGCGGTACACCTAGCATAGCCAGCGTCACGGTTTTTGCGTGACAATCAAGAATAGCATAATGGGGCGACAACCAGTCCATGCCCAAGATATCATCAAAGTCTACCATGCTGAGCAATAATACATCGGCTCTGGTCTCAAAACCACTAAGAGAAATCAAACACGACCGATAAATACGGTCACAATAAGAGAATCTCCAACAGGAGTAGAAACATAAATAGGAGAACTCAAGGAATCCCGAGATACGCCCAAATACGGGGCAAAATAAGAGGACACATAAGAATAAGTGGAGCCTGGATCGAATAAAACCGATGCATCTCTATGACAGACCAGGATAATATCTGTGATGACAGAATCGGAGGCGACAGCCTCAGTACGGGCAGGAAAGGCATAGTATCTGGCTTGGTCTCCCCCTCTAGGGCGACCTCTACCTCCCCGACCTCCACCTCTAGCTGGCGGGGCAGGTGGGGTAGCAACTGGTGCTGTAACCATAGCCTGGGAACTCTGCGGGGCACGCTTTGGCTGAGAAGTCTGTGGAGGTGCACCCCTCCTAAGTCTGGGACAATCCCTCACTATATGGCGTGTGTCTCCACACTCAAAACAAGCTTTGGGAGGACGTGGCGGCTGTGACTGGCCACTGAAAGCACCTCGTGCAGGAGGTGCAATTTATATTGGAGGTGCATAAGAGGGCTCTTGAGGTCTAGGAGGAGCTGGAATACCACTGTTTGCTGGAAGAGTTGAATGAACGGGGCGACTCATATAGCCCCTACCATGACGAGCTGCAGCTGGGGCACGGGCACCAGAGTAATGGCCTGACTCTCGAGACCTCTTGGCATCCCTCTCCTCTCTGTCCCAAGCATGCATACCATCTACTCTCCTAGCAATGCTCACCACCTGCTGATAAGAAATATCTATCTCCAACTCCCAAGCCATGCTGGACATGATGTTGAGAATAAGCCCCTCAATGAAACGGCGAACTCTCTCGCGAACAGTAGAAACCAAAGCTGGTGCATGTCTAGCCAAGTCAGTGAAATAGACAGCATACTCCGAGACAGTCATAGTACCCTGACGCAAATGCTCAAACTCTGCGCGCCATGCGTCCCTGAGGTTCCAAGGAACATACTCTCTCCAGAACATATCTGAAAACTGAGTCCAAGTCAGGGAAGCTGCCTCATCTGGACTGTCTAACTCATAAGTACGCCACCACTAATAGGCGGCTCCTCAAAGCTGGAAGGTAGCGAAGGAAACCCCGCTCGATCCTGATATACCCATGGTACGGAGGATACGGTAGCACTTCTCTAGAAATCCCAGAGCATCATCTGATGCTAGTCCACTGAATATAGGAGGCTGATACTTCTTGAACCTCTTAAGCATCTTCTGCTCCTCCTCTAAAGCTACTGCACTCTCCTCGGGCTGAGCTGGGGCTACAGGCTGTGCCGGTATAATCTCTGGGACCTGCTTAACATGCACTCGCTGCTCAGGAGTACGGGCGGCGGGAGTCTGTGCTCCTCCCCTGGCCTGGGATGTGGCTGCAACAAGGGGAAACAACCCTGCCTGAGCTAGAGTGGTGTACATACTCATAAACTGCGCAAGAGTCTCCTAGAGAGCTGGACTAGTAGTAGCAGTAGGCGTGTCAGGCGCCTGGGCTCCAGCTGGAACTGCTGGTGGCTCCTCGGCAGCAGCTCGCGCGGGTGCTCTGGCTGCACCGCGTGCGCGTCCTCGGCCTCTACCCCGACCCCGACCTCTGACGGCTCTCGTAGGGGGCGCGGGTGTCTGGTCACCTCCAGTAGCACGTTTCCTCACCATCTGTGAGAGAACAGAAGATAGAAGATTAGAATTTCGATATCAAAAATCTCGCACGACAAGGAATTCAAATGAAGTGGAATTTTCTTAACAATTACATAGCCTCTCGTAGATAAGTACAGACGTCTCCGTACCGATCCACGAGACTCTAATAAACCAGCTTATGATTCATGACTCCTATGAACCTAGAGCTCTGATACCAACTTGTCACGACCCGAGTTCCCCCTCCGTGAACTGTCGTGACGGCACCTAGTCTCTACGAGTAGGTAAGCCTAACAATTTGCAGAAAAAAAAGGAAAACGAAAGATAAAACTAACCAAGAACTGCGGAATAACATAAATAAAACATTCAGGATGCCGCTCGGCATATACAATATAAACTCTCAAACTGAATCAACTCCCAAAACCCAGAATCTCATGAAATCACAAGTTGAGAATGTTTACATAAAGTTCTAACTCCAGAATATCTAGTCAACGGAGAGTACAAAAGACCTAAAGCTAACAAAAAGAGATAGAGAGACTCCTCGGTCT